CTTCCGGGTGAATGGCCACCGCGCCATCATGCTGCATGTCCTTTAGGGGAAGGCTCAGAGGAAGAGTCACAGGGTATCCGTGGTGATGTGCCAAGGGCTTTTCTCAAGGGGACCCAACCCCCTTTTCATTTGAGGACCCCAGGTCTGTGAACGGGCTCAGGTTTGGGACACTGAGTGAGAGGGTTTGATTCTCTCTTGTAATGAGTCGACATAGATCTCTGTTTCCCTTACCTGGAGATTTTCCAGTGATACAGATGGAATAATGCATGGCTTGAATTGTGCCTCCCACCCCCCAAAGTTATGCTGCGGTCCTAACCCTTGGTACCTGTGAATGTGACCCTCTTTGCAGATGTGACAACAAAGTAAGTTAAGCTGAGGTCATGCTAAAGTAGGGTGTACCCTTAATTCAGTATTACTGGCATCCTTACACAAAGAGGAGAGAGACAGATGCAGAGGGAAGATGGCCATGTGACAATGACAGGGGCAGGGTTATGCAGCTGGAGGCTAAGGGGCACTAAGGATTAGGAACAGGCACCGGAAGCTAGAAGAGACAAGGAAGGAGCCCTCGGCCCCTTAGGGGGATCGGGTCTCTGCTGACACCTGGTTACCAACCTTGGGGCCCCAGAACTGTGAGATAATGAATTTGTTGTTTTAAGCACCTTGTAATAGTCACCCTAGAAAATTGGTTAACATCGCTCCCCTCTTTTATTTTTAGAAACTGGGATTCTGTAGCCACCATACAAGGTGACCGGGGGCGATGCCTTCTACTGGGTGCTGGGTCCTGTGGCTTGTGTTGTCTGTGGCAGTTTAGCACTCTGCCAGCTGGCTCTGTCCCTCTGGAAGCCCAGCATCCTCGCTGAAACTGGGGAGTCCCTGTCTCGGGGGCAGTGTGTCTCACCGCTGTCTGTGTGGCACTGAACTGCCCGCAGAAAGCAGCTGCCTGGTCCTTTACGGAGAGGAGCGTGTGATCAGTGGAACGTGGGTGGGGGTAACATGTAGTTAGGAGGCCAAAGCCAGGGGCCTGGATGCCATTGGGGCTCATGGTTTCTCACCACCGAGCTGGGGGCAGGGTGAATGATGGAGGGTCCTCTAGGGCTCAGACCTTTGAAGTGGAAGGCAGGAAGATGGGTAAGTCTCTGAACATTGAGTATTGTCTTGAGTACAGAGTTAAAGGCACAGACTTCAGTGTCTCTCTTCTGGGTCCAGAAACTTATATTTTGTTTCTTCTTTTTTTAAAAAATTTTAAAGATTTTTATTTTATTTAAGTGACAGGGTGAGAGAGAGAGCAAGCACACAGGTAGGCAGAGCTATAGGCAGAGGGAGAGGGAGAAGCAGACTCCCCAGCAAGCAGGGAACCCAATATGGGACTTGATCCCAGGACCCCGGGATCATGACCTGACTTGAAGGCAGACTCTTAACTGACTGAGTCACACAAGTGCCCCATTTCATTGCTTAATAAAGGGGGTTGAGTTAGCCCAGAAAAGGGAGCCCCAGTTGCTCATCAGATGGGGAGTGCATGTTATCTTTCTCTGTGTTCTATAGGAGTAAATGTAGGGCTAGCTGCTCTAACAGTGAATGGAGTAATCATAGTGGCTTGGCACAACAGAAGTTGACTTCTCACAGAGGCCCCAATTCAGCAGCAAGAATCCACTTTGCCCCTCCCTGGGGGGCCCAGCCTGATGGACACTGCCATTTTGAACCCCGGATTCCCAAGGGGGCTCTGGGGTGGAGGTGTCCTCACTTCTGCCTGCTCCCCACCGACCAGAACTTAGTTCCCTGGGTCCACCTAGGTACAAGGGGCCCTGGGAATTAGAGGCCCTGGCTTGACAGCCACTTCCCAGTGACAATCCCACATTGTGGAAGGGGAGCATGGGTATGACGGCCAGCTGGCCACCTGTCCTACACAGCCTCGGCTCAGTGTCCTGCACATAGTAGGTGCTCAGTAAATACCAAAGTCTCTGAGTTATACTGGTTGGCAGGCACGTTCCAAAATACTTTATATGCATCAGTCTATTTTGTCCTCCTAGAACCTGGACAATGTTTACTGTGAAGAGCTTCATTTTACAGATGAGGAAATTGAGGCACAGTGAGGGTTAGTAACCAGCCCAAGGTCACAAGCAGGAAATGATGGATCCGGGGATCAAACCTTGCATTCCAGCATTAGAACTCACCCACCTACCCACTGCTTGAGACTGTTTTCCCTACAAATCCATGCTGACTTGAACTGATGTATAAAAAAGAAGAATGAATTGATGTGCCTTATAAAATCAAAAGGAAAGCAAAGGTGGATTTTATGGGAGCCTGGGGCGTTCATGAGTTCCTGCCATCTGCCAGGGACTAAGCCCTCCCTCCCTCACTTCTCCCTCTCTTTCTTTCCCTCCCAGGGTCCCGTGGCATTTGGCACAAACTATGGGCTTCGCTTTGTTGTCCCCAGGCTGTCCCCAGCCTTGTACCCAGCACTTGGGAGGTATTCAACACACATTTTCCAATGCATGATAAAAACACAGGCTGGGTGCTAGAGAGCAGAGTGGATCAGTTCTAGTTCTTGCCTTTGGGAAGCTCAGTGTTGGAAAGACCATTAATGATAGTCTACAGCGTGGGGAGTAGAGAGATGGAATGCTGGACAAGCCCACAGGGGGCCCCAGAAGGAATAAGTCTGGTGTTTTAGTTTCCTGGGGCTGCCATAAAAAAAGACCACCAACTGGATGGTTTAAACAACATAGATGTTATCTCAAAATTCCCCAGACTAGAAGTTCGAGCTTGGGATGTCCATTCCAGACCTCTCTCCTAGTTTCTGGCGGTCTTTGGTGTTCTTTGGCTTGTAGATGGCATTCTTTCTGTATCTTCACATCATCTCTATAGGTGTCTGTCTTCAATTTCCCCTTTTTGTAAGGCCACCCTCATATTGGATTAGGGCTCACCCTAATGGCCTCAACTCAATCATTTCCAAATAAGGTCACATTCACAGGTATTGGGGGCTAGGACTTCAACATCTTTTGGGGGACACATTCAACACATATTTATTGAACACCTATGATATGCTGGTCCCCACAGTTGTACATGCTGGAGATAAAGCTGTGGACAAGATGGGCAATGTCCTTCTCATGGAGTTTTCGTTACAGGGAGAGAGGTCACAAATGTACACACATTCTAGGTAACGTTGTGAGCTAAGGAGGAAAATGAAACAAGGCAAGGGGATAGAGCCCAGTGGGGCAGGTGCAGGGCTGAGGCCCATAACCTATTGGTTGGGTGAGACCCACACCTGGCTTCTTCACGTACCATCCATTCATTTGCACGTTCATTAACTCCTTGCTTTAGTTACCGAGAATCTGCCTGGCTTTGGTCTGGGGAAACCCAGCTGCAAGGCAAGTCTTAAGCTTCTGGGCTGTTCACACCCATTTCTGTGCACAAGCTCCACCCTCTTTCTGGATCACCTCCCTGCCCTGGCCTATGTGGCCTGGCGAGTTGCTGAGTTGCTACTCCTAGGTAGAAAGACTGGGCTTGTGCTGCCACCTCTGGAAACTTCTCACCTTTCCTGGCAGAATCCAGGCTCATCCACCCTCCCCTCCAGACACCCCTGCTCCCAGGGGCTGCTTGCTGTCACCCCTGTGGGGCCATGTTTCCTAGAAGGCAGAGCTGAATCTCACATTCGATGCTCCCCAGCTTCCCAGGGTATTCGTGATAAATACTTAAATATTCAGCACATTTCTGCTAGAATGTTGGGTCCTTGAGGACTGTCCCAGCACCTAGAACAGAGCCTGCCAAAACATTAGCATTGGATAAATAAGTGTAAATGAATGAATGAATTTTCTCTCAGCAGTCAGCCACATCTGCCCTTTTGCAGAAAGCTGGGGGGTGGTGGTGGGAATCTCCTCTTTAGCAACATCTGAGTGGGACATCCTGGCTGATGGGTTCACTTCAGCTTTGGATCTCCCACCGATTTGAGGGAGGGGGTGACTGCTGAGGGGGACGCCACAGTTCCAGGGGCAACGTCAGCTCCCACTCCCAGTGCTGCTCGGTGCAAAAGCAGTTTCCTGCTCCCTCGGAAGAGGGACAGAGGTGATCTCTTTTCTTGGGAAGTAACCTCTGTCTTGTCTCCATCTGGGCATCTCCTGGAAGACACACAGGTACACCAGACGGACATAGACACAAACAAAAAGACACCCCGTCCCCCTATTCATAGATCTAGGGACGCGTGCTGTGACACCTTCCCTCCCGCCCCTAGTAGACACACCCCAAAGACAGCCAGCCAGACATAGAGAAAACATACTGCAGAAAGGCACAGGGTGGAGGCCCGACAGACAGACAAGACTCAGGCACAGGGACACTTTTAGGCTCACCTAGACCTCTACGGTCAGCGACTCAGCGACTCAGCGGCTCGGGGACAGCCTGAGCAGGGCTCCCACCTGAGGACCGCCAGGCGCCCAGCTGGACCGCAACCACGCCTCCCTCTCCCCCGCGGGCCTACTGGCAGCGGCGGGCTCAGGGTGACCCCTCATCCTTCACTGCCACCCTGGAGGCGGCAAGAGGCACCTGTCACTAACCAGCTTTCTCGAAGCCGGGGCAGGGCTGGGTGGGCGGGCGTCCGCGCAGCTGGCAGCGGAGCAGGAGGACTCGCGGACATCGCGGAAGGGGGCTGGCCCGGGTCCCAGGCTTGGGGGTGGGGTGGGGGAGCGGTCAGAGTGGGTCGCGGAGTGGGCTGGAGGGCTGCCCTGGTCTTGACAAAGTCAGGGACAGTGGGCAGTGCGCACTCAGGAGCGCAAGGAAGAAACTGGGGTGAGCGCGGGTCAGCGGGGTGGGGGACGGTGGTAAGCGGACACGCGTGCATCTTGGCCGAAGGCAGAGGGGCAACAACTAACTGGAAGGGCAGGCGTCGGAGGGGATCGGGAGAGGGGTGCTGCTTGGCAGAGAGCGTCAGGGCAAGGGCAGGGGTCGGGGCAACAGGTGGGCTCCCGGCTGCAGCCACTCCGGGAATCAGACTCCGTGCGGGTCTCACCAGGATGCCCGAGGGCCAGCGGGTGCTCGTCTCTCCCCCGGCGGCGGCTCGGGGCGCCCTGGGCAGTGTGTCGTCGGGGCCCTCGGCCTGCCCATCGCCCCGCCTCCCGGCCCCGGGGTCCCCGGGGTCCCCGGGGTCCGCGGGGTCGCCGGCGTCCCCGGGGTCCGCGGGGTCGCCGGCGTCCCCGGCCCCTCCGCGGGGCGCCGTCCGCTCCAGCGTCCCGCAGAAGCTGGCCGAAGCGCTGAGCAGCCAGTACGGGCTGATAGTGTTCGTGGCGGGGCTGCTGCTCCTCCTGGCCTGGGCCGTGCACGCCTCGGGGGTGGGCAAGAGCGACCTGCTCTGCTTCCTTACGGCGCTCATGCTGCTGCAGCTGGTCTGGATGCTGTGGTACGTGGGTCGCAGCTCCGCGCACCACCGCCTCATCAGCCCCAAGGACACGCACGCCGGCGCGCGCTGGCTCCGTGGTGAGTCTCCGGGCGACCGCCAAAGTGACTTCCTCTCCCCTGACAGCGTTTCTGGCTCTCCCCTCCTCCTTTCCTTCTCTCTCTCTCTTTTGTTTTTCCTTTGGTAAGCCTGGTTTGTCCAGGAGCCTCCTCTCTCTGCCCTCAGGCTCTTGTCACACATTCTGTCTTAAGACCTACAGCTACACAAACCTGTTCACATCTCTTCTTGAGAAATGCCCGCCCCGGGTCCACAGACCCCAGGAGGGAGGCCAGGCTCCCTATCCTATGCGTTCCTGGCGTTCTAAGATCAGTCCCCAGAGGGCCTCTCATTTTATCCCCTCCTTTGCCCTCATTCTGGGCTCCAGTCTGAAAGGCTCTTAGTTTCCATCACCAGCTTTCCTTCCTATCTCCATGACTTTGCATATTCTGTTCCCTCCTCCTCCAGTGCCTTCCCTTTGCCCTGCCTTCCAAGACAGGGCTGGGGCCTCACACAGTTCCCCCACCCCACCCCACCCCAGTGATGCTTTTCTGATTCCCCCTGCTCTCTGAGGTGCTGACCACACTCCACCCCTCATTGTGCCCTGCGTAGACAGCATTCTTGTTGATGATTTTCGCCCTTCCCCCACCACCCAGGGTAGCTCTGTGATGCTTCTTTCTTATTGCTAGAGCCACCTCGGGGGGGGGTCTGGTGTAGAGTAGATGCTAAAAGCATGCAAAAGCGTGCATTTGGGAAGAATGGAGTCATGGGTAAGTGGATCAACACTGGGGCAGTGGAGGGTGCTTTTGCTCTTGCTCATTCCTACTGGCAACAGATTGAAACGTCAAGATGGAAGGTTCCCCTCCCACCAGGAGCTTCTGCTCTTGAAAGGGAGATAGACCTGGTGGAGTCAAGGGGAGGAGGGAGTCGGGAGTGTGCCCTGGAGAAAGCTGCTGTCTGAAAGAGAGCCAGTACATCTCCTTCTCTGTAGACCAAATACATCACACATCTCTACCTGAATTCTCTTGAGTTCTGAATTTAAATTTCCCTTAGAGTGTGACTTTCCTTATCCATGCTTGACCTTGGGCATGTGACTTAATCTGCCCACCCTCAGAGTTTCAGCTGAGGGAGAGTGACTGGTGGCTGGGTGCAGGCTGGGTGCCCAGCACATATCCCTTCCCCACCCCACTCACATCTCTTCAAAGGTCTGGTACAGGGCCATCTTCCCCACCCTACCTGCCATGAACTACTCCTCGCTCCCACTGGATTCCGTGTCTCTCTCTGTGCAGAGTGTTTCACTCCTTGTCAATTTCCACCTTGTATCAGGAGCCCGGTATCTGGATAAGATTTTAGGCTTCTTAGGCTCAGGGACTGTGTCTAGTTCATCTTGCCTTTGGAAAAACTGGACACAACTCCAGGCTGCCCAAATTCCTGTTCTGAAAATGGTCGTTTCAGGGAGGGTCATGAATGGCAGGGAATCCAGCACCATATCAAACACCCACACAAACAAACAAATGGGCATGAAATATTTTGAGCATATTGATTTACACAGGCTAAAAAATATTACACATGGATTTTGACCTATGCTTTCCTATAGTGGAAGGATCTGTTCTTTGTCCCTCCCTCACTTCTTTTCTCCTCCATCCTTCTTCCCTTCCTCCCTTCTCCTCCCTTTATTCCTTTCTTCCTCACTCCTCTCCATTCCCTTCTCTTTCTATCCTTGCCCTCTTCCCTTCTCCACCCCTCCTTCCCCTGCTCTTCCTCTCTCTCTGCCTCCCCTCTCTCCCTCTTTCCAGAAAGACTCCAAGCATTGGGATCTGAGTCAGTGGGTGAATGGTCATGCCAGTTCACAAAATTAGGAAGACAGAGGGAGGACCAGGCATGGGTATGCAGAATCAAGTTTCCTCTCCTGGGCTTGTTACATTTGAGATGTCTATTGGATGCCAAGTAGTGATAGAATAAATGTGGCAATATAGAGGGAGCACATAGTAGGTGTTCAATAAATGGTGGCTTTTTAAACAATCGTGATAACATAACCATTCAAATGAGGTATGTAGATAATGGAAATGGTGCTGGCCCTGGAAGGTTTGGTTCCATGTTCCAGGTCGAGGACTTTCACCTTCTGAATCCCTGCTTCCTTGTCAGTAAAATGAGAACCCCAGTTGCCTTTCAGGGAAGATCTGGGAGAGCCGTGTCAAGTGAACACAGTTTGCAAAGCACTCTGATCCTTGCAAATGAGCTTCAGCTCATCAAAGAATCCAGAGGCTAATTGTCCCAAGAGGAAAGACCGTTGGGGTGCCAAGAAGAAATGCCTTAGCCAGGGCTAAGGTTTTCCCTAGAAGCATAGCTGGAAAGACAGGTTTGACTTAGCTCTGCCTTGGCTTCTGTGACAGCCTTCAAAGTCTGGGGTGCTGAGAAAGGGCCAGCCTGTGGAATTCAGGGCACTAACATTTTCCAGAGAAAGTTTTGTGGTCTTGGTATGGTCTGTGAGGCATTTCTTTGAGCATTTGAGATATTCTGTTCTACCTACTGGGTGTGAGAAAGTGAAAATTTCTTTTGGGACACAAACTATTGACCTATTAAAAATTTTAGAAGGAATGATGGGTTATTAATCCAATTCCTCTGATTGCCAAGTAAAGAGATTCATTTTTTTCTGAAAGGAATAGCAGCCTCCATGTCTCAAGTCAGCCCAGTGGGCGCGGTGACAAGGATGCAAAAGTTTGGACACTCAGGGGACCCACAGTCTGGAAGTGTGGTCGGAACTCCTGAGAAACCACCAGGGATAATGCCAGGATCGCAGAACCCTGGACGAGCTATCATGGGGCTGAGCTGTCGGGTGGGTCCTGGGGGAATCCCAGCCCACCCTGCTGACTTTGCGGCAGGTGCAAGCTTATGAACATTGGTCTGGGCTTCACTTTGCTGTCCCTTCTCAGAATGCATGTTTACCTTAATTTCACAGCCTCGTTCTTCTGCAGACATAGTGTCTGCACTACACTCCTTGTTTCTCGTGGCTTCTGTTTCCACCACAGGGATAGCAAGCCCCACATCAGCATGTCCCAGACTTTGCTGAGATAGAGTCCAGAAGCTCTACAGTTCTCCCAAGTGAAGTGCGGGAGTCAATGGTTTTTAGTATATTCACGGATATGTGCAACCACGCCCCAGTCAGTTGGAGAACACTTTTACCATCTCGAAAAGAAACTCTGTCCGCTTTAGCTGTCATCCTCTATACCTCTAACTCCCCGCCCCCCACCACCCGAGCCTTGGCAATCACTTGGCAATCACTCGTCCACTTCCTGTCTCTGGATCTGTGCATCAGGACCTTTCCTCTGGATGGAATCGTGTGATCCATCATGGGCGTGACCAGCTTCTTTCACTCAGCAGGTTTCAATATCACACGTTTTCAAGGTCACAGTGACTCTTGAGGTGGTGTCATCACCCCCATTTACCAGACCAGAAAGCTGGGTTTCAGGAGGAGTGCTGAGCTCCCCAATCACCGGAAATGTTTGAAAAGAGAAAGAAAGAGAAGCGGCTGAGCTCCTCACTTAGGGGCAGATGGCATGATATCAACAGTTGTCAGCGAAGGCAAAAGTCTCCTTCCTTCTTGCTTTCTGTCTTCCCCGTTGAGCAGGAGGATCTTGGGAACTAGCAGAGAGCAACAGAGAAGGGAGCCAGGCGCACAGGGCGGAAACTCTTGTGGTGATTGGGCAGGACTGTTGATTGGGTTTTGTTTGACAGCCTGGTCTGAGCTCCCAGGACTCTCTGGGCTCTGGGGATGTTAGCACGGTCAGGCATGGCCCTGCACAGAGGGATGCGGGAGAGGGCAAGCACCATGGGGATGGCGAGGGACAGCAGAGTATCCTGGCTGAGGGCTTGCCTCCACCCCTGGCATGGAGCTCTGCTTCTGCCTCTGTATTCTTGTCTGTAAAATGGGGATGATGATACCACCACTCACATGGGGTTGTGATGAGACTCAGTGAGTTAGTACACAATAAAATGCTTAGAAGCCTCTGGCACATAGTAATAGATGTGCCTTATTATGAAATAAATGATTCAGCATGATGATAGGCAAGTGTAGGAGACGGGTGGAGGGCAGATGATAGGCAAGTATAGAAGACGGGTGGAGGGCAGAAGAGTAGCCTGAGGGTGAAGGCTTGAGGATTCAGGCAGGGATCCCCAGAGGAAGGTCTTCTGTTTTTGCCGGAGTCTGGAAAAAAAACCCTTAAAAATCATTAAAAAATGCAAAAAGAATACACAAAATACAGGAACTACACACTCCCAAGACACAGCCTGGGATCACCATGAGGGACTCTTGCCTAAAGGCATCCTTTTTCTTACATACTTTTTTTTTGGGATGAGATTTTTTTATCTGATAGAAAATATAAAACACAACACCAGAATTCCAGCATCAGTAAGATGATGGTGCTGCCCAAAAAGCTGATGTTGGTTTGACATTCATGGAAAGGAAGTCACACTGCATGTGGGGAGTACCTTTCCCCCCTTGGAGCATCGCACAGGCATCTGTAGAAGGGAAGGCCCTAGGAGGAATGCAAGGGTATTGAGGACACTAGAGGACAGAGGATGTAGCAGGGTCGAAAATGATGCAGCTTCACTCCAGTTAGCTCAAGGCTATCCTCTGGTTTCCAGAAAACAGAGTCACTTCTTTAGGGAAGCCTTTCCTGATCCCTTCAGACCAGGTGTGGCTCCCAGGCTGTATGGTCTCTGAGCGTCCTACGTTTTTTTCTTAACCCCAATCAAGCAGGATATTTTGTTGTTCACTTTGTCAGTAACCAGACTGTGGGCTCTCATAGGCAGAGTCCTTGTCTGAATGTGCCCCCCTCAATATATCCTGAGTCCCTGGCACTGTGCCTGACACATAACAAGTGGCATCTGGTATTTACTGAACCATCAAGGAAATGGATGGATGGAAGGAAGGATGGACGGACGGACGGACGGACGGATGGATGGATGGATGGGTGGAAGGATGGATGGATGATTGGATGGACGGACAGATGGATGAGTGAACAATGACAGACTCTCCAGAAGA